CATGAGTGGCCACTGCACTCCAGTCTGGGCGACAGAGTGAGATTCCAACTCAAAAAAAAAATGTGTATCACTAAGTAAGAGATGCCAATCACAGAAGACTCTATATTGTATGAATCTGACTGTAAGATGTCCTGGAAAAGGCAAAACTATGAAGACAGTAAAAAAAAAATCAGTAGTGTCCAGGAGATTGGGAACAGAAAGGGATAGATAGGCTGAGCACAGAGGATATTTAGAGCAGTGAAATGACTCTGTGTGATATTATAATGGTGGATACATGTCATTGTACACTTGTCCAGACCCGTCTAAATGTACAGCGCCAAGAGTGAGCACTAATACAAATTCTGTGCTTTGGGTGATAATGATGTGTCACTGTAGACTTATCAATTATAACAAAACTCTGGTGGGGATGTTGATAATGTGAAAGGCTGTGAATATGGGGGGCAGGAATATATAGAAAATCTCTGTACTTCCTGCTCAATTTGCTGTGAATCTAAAACCGCTCCTAAAAATTAAGACTCTTAATATAAAATGAATGAGGCAACCTCTTATGTACTGACATTATACAACCCTTGCATCTTTTTTTCTTTTTTTTGAGTTGGAGTCTCACTCTGTCACCCAGACTGGAGTGCAGTGCCCACTCCCGGTCACTGCGGCCTCGACCTGCTGGGCTCCGGTGATCCTTCCGCCTCAGCCTTCCAAGTAGCTGAAACTACAGGCACGTGCTACCACGCCCAGCTCATTTTTGATTTTATTGTAGAGATGAGGTCTCACCAAGTTGCCCAGGCGGGTCTCGAACCCGCGTTCTCAGGCAATCCACTCACCTCAGCCTCCCAAAGTGCTGGGATTACAGGCTGAGCCACAGAACCGGGCTAACCCTTGCATCTTAATGCTTAGAATTTACTCATATCTAGCTGCAAGAGTGACCAAGAAAAGAATTACTTTAGTTAGGTGAATAGCCACCCACATTTGTTAATGAAGAAGGGATGAAGATTGAGTAGGTGACTGGCAGTCGGCACCAGACCTTACCCCTTTTAGTACTCAAAAACACTTCGACAGTCTTCTCTGTAAGCAGAAGAAGTAGTCCCATCCTTCGCAAGAGCAATATCCTCCAAGTTTTATTTTGAAGAATCAGACCTAAAGTGTTTCTTTGTGGTGTCTCATAAGTTTAAAAGAACCATCACCTTTCAAAGACCTCAATAAACCATAATGCCATGGGAATTGGAAGTCCACAATTAAAAACTCCTAATGAAGAAAAGAAAAATGGAGAGGTTGTAGCAGGTGCTAGTCTACTGCAATTAGCCAAAGCCAGTGGGCAGAAATAGTAAGAATTCCCTGCCTTAGCAGTGGAGCAAGTCTCTTAATTAATCCATCTGGAAGCTCTGGTTCTCCTATCCAGAGGCTGTACACAATACTTCATGGCTCCTGGTGTCTCCCTCTTGCTTTGTTGTTGTTGTTGCTGTTGTTGTTGTTGTTGTTGTTGTTTTTGTTGTTCCTTACTTTCTAAGGTCACACCTTTCTTGGGCTATACATTTCTTGGATACTTGGAAACATTTTTTTTCTTGACGGTTCCGATTACTGAAGGGAACTTTTATAGGCGTCAAGAAACACAAATGAAAGAGGTAAACTGCTTTTCCTTGGAAGTACAGAGAGCTTTAGGGGAGACATGAGGGGAAAAGAGAAGAAAATCGACCAAGTAAAGCAACTTAACAAGGGCGTTGGTAACAGGACTAATATTCATGTAGAGTTGTGTCTTTTGCCAATACATCAGTATATTACACATGAAGGACAATTTTTTAGTGGTTATTTGCATGAAGCAAGGGGAAGAAAGGACTGGGCACTTTTGTGGGTTGATTTGTTTCAAAACAAAGTCATCGGGCAACATTAGCCCTTACTTGAAGCAGAAACTCAAAACCAGAGGTGAAAATTTAAGCCATGCCAGGGAAATGAGGGCCAGTTGGAACCCCAAACTTCACCTGTACACAGCTTGTGTAGTTAATCCTCACTTGTATTCCATATCTCTATAATAAGATAAAAAAATAAAAATAAATAAATAAAGTCAAATGGAAATGTATAAATATTGTGGACATGAGGATGGGCACTTACTAGACATGGCCTGGTTCGTGTAATGAGGACTGGAGATCATTTTAATTAGACATTAAACTTTCTCGCTTGACACCTAGGAGATACTATGGTTTATTGATTCATTAATTTAATAAACATTTAGGAAGTGCCTATTACATATCAGGCAGTATTTTACATGACTGTTAAAAAAAAATGAACCTGTTATTAAAGCCTTCCCATAAAGAAAATCCAGGACCCGGTTGGCTTCACTCATAAATTTTCCTAAACATTTAAAAAAATTTTTTTTTAAGAAAGGGAGTAGAAACAAACGAGTCACTTCCCAACTTAAGAGATCATTATAAATACGATGTAAAACTTAAAGCCAGTAGAGAAAATTGTAATAACAGAGCCATCGTTACATAAACAGAAATACAGAAATTCTAAACAAACCAAATGAGATACATTATAAATATTTAAAATACATCATGGCTAAATGTGGTTTATTTTAGGAATACAACAGTAGCTTAACATCCAAAATGTAATCAACATAATTTATGATTATGTAAATTTAAAAAATAATCATCTTAAAATATGTAGAAACTCCATTTAACAAAATTCAACATCCACTGGTTATTTCAAAATAAGAAAAAGACTCTTAGCAAACTAGAAATAGAAGAAAACTTCCATAAACTGATTTGTAAAAAGCTACTAATTGAAATAAAAAGAGAAAAGAAAAGCTACTAAAAAACCTACAGCACGCCGGGTGGCTCACTCCTGCAATCTCAGCACTTTGGGAGGCTAAGGTGGGAGGATTGTTTGAGTCCAAGAGTTCAAGATTGGTTGGGCTCGGTGGCTCAGCCTGTAATCCCAGCACTTTGGGAGGCCGAAGTGAGTGGATTGCCTGAGCCCGCGGGTTCGAGACCCACCCGGGGAACTTGGCGAGACCTCATCTCTACAATAAATCAAAAATTAGCCAGGCGTGGTAGTGCGTGCCTATAGTTCCGGCTACTTGGAAAGCTGAGGTGGAGGGATCGCCAGAGCCCAGCAGGTCGAGGCTGTGGTGACCAGGAGCGTGCCACTGCACTCCAGTCTGGGCAACAGAATGAGACTTACTCAAAAAAAAAAAGAGTTCAAGATTATCTTAGGCAACATAGCAAGACCTGGTCTCTACAAAAAAAATAAAAAAATTAGCTGGGCAAGTTGGCGTGTACCTGTAGTCTCAGTTTCTTGGGAGGCTGAGGCAAAAAGATCACCTGAGCCCATGAGGTCAAGGCTGTGGTAAGCCATGATCATGTCACTGCACTCTGGCCTAGGCAACAAAGTGAGACTCCAGCTCAGAAAATAATCAAACACACAAATAAGCAAAACAAAACCACAAAGATTTTACTTTATAGTGAAATAGCAAAATCTTCCCTTTAATATGCACCCATCTTATCTAACCACTCTTTCTTTTCTCTTGTACTCTTTTTTTATCTTCATTCACCCAAGGGTACAAACTGAGGTCCAAAGACCAAAAGTAATGCTAATAGATGCCCAAGTGTCTATTTATTATCCCCAAATCAGGGGCAAAAGTGTTTTTTTCCTGAACAAATACTTGAAGTACTCATATTTGAAAGGCCTAATATGACTCAAGATTAAATGAAGCTGGAAGTGGCATCAGGAAAGGAGAGCTCAAAAATATCCTTGACATAGCCAGGCTCGGTGGCTCAGCCTGTAATCCTGTGCCTTTGGGAGGCTGAGGTGAGTGGATTGCCTGAGCCTGCGGGTTCGAGACCTGCCTGGGCAACTTGGCGAGACCTCATCTCTACAATAAATCAAAAATTAGCCGGGCGTGGTAGCGCACACCTGTAGTTCCAGCTACTTGGAAGGCTGAGGTGGAAGGATCGCCAGAGCCCAGCAGGTCAAGGCTGCAGTGGCCGTGAGTGGCCACTGCACTCCAGTCTGGGCGACAGAGTGAGACTCCAACTCAAAAAAAAAATATATCCTTGACACCCTCCTCACGTTGCCTGTAACTCGGCCTCTGCAGGAGGTAAAGCAGAATTGGTAGCTGTGTCATTGATCTGGTCTGAGTCCTCACTCAGGGCCCTCTCAAGACTGGCAGGCAGGGAGTGGATCAGTTTCTCTCTGAAGTCCTGGCCCACAAAGACGTAGAGCATTGGGTTGAGACAGCTGTTGAAAAAGGCCAGGGAGCTTGTGGGGTTAACCAGGGCCTCAAGGATTTTGTATTTGCCAAAGAGCAACATCTCTTTGAGCCAGATTGTGCCTAGAAGGGCAACCAGTTGAAAGGGGAACCAACAGATAAAGAAAGAAGCCACAACAGCAGTGAGGACCCTCAATGGACGGCTGGATTTAATCATGCCTTTTTTGTGGATCTTGGCAGCAATGAGCCCATAGCAAATAGCAACAATGGACATTGGCATGCTAAAGCCAATAATGAACCGGATGATCCCTCTAGCTGTCAACATGGTAATGGCCACCTTCAACTTCTCTTCTTTGGTGTTACCCCAGGAGGCAAAGTTGAAAGTACAGTATGTGTCTCCGTTAGGAAGAGATACTGCAGTCAAGAAGATGAAAACTGGCAAGGTAAGAACTAGAGCAAGAATCCAGGGTCCAGTGATCATCTTCGTGGCCAGGCTTACAGTGCGGTGGTTCTGGGCCCAGACTGGATGCAGGACACAAATACAGCGGTCCAGGGCAATAAAAGCAATCAGGAAGACACTTCCAAACAGGTTGATGTCCACCACAATGTGCACTAACTTACACATGAACCAGCCAAAAGGCCATTTTTCTCTCATGGCCATTGAGACGATGAGGAGTGGTAGCATAGCAGTAAAAGAGAAGTCAGCTAGAGCCAGGTTCAGGTAACAGATGGTGGTGACTGTACGTGTCATCCGGAATCCAGCCACCCAGATCACAAGCCCATTGCCCAGGACCCCAAGGACAAAGGTGATTGCAAGAACCACCAATGGGAAGATTCTCAGAACAATGTAGCCAGCAGACTCAGGGAACATCTCTTCAGATCCATTCAGAGAGATGGAGAAGTTGGTTTCCATCTTGCTCACACCTGAAACATTTCAGCAATGGTCATTTTTCAGCAGTGGACCATCATATAGTATTCCCATTTATAGCCTACATCAGTTCCACCGTATCTTCCAATCCCACCAGGAGACCCACTCTACTGAACCTTGTCAACAGTGATGCTATAAAATTGGTACTCTTTCGACTGCTCCTCTGGGAAAGGATAGTTGTCCATATTTCCAACATTATGGGCATGCATTCCACCTATTGGACTGATTACTTTACAAAAAGGATTGCAAGACTCTTGTCCATGGACAGAAATACTGAACTGAAGGTATATAGACAACAGAAAATTATGCAAAGTCACCTTCAGCATAGTGAAGAAAGCACAAGATTCAGAGCCAGCGGCTTCAAATCTGTGTCCACCCATGGCTCAATGCAAAAATGCTGGCAATCTTTGCTGCCTCTTTCAATTCCAGGCTTGTTCAATCTCCCAGCTCCTGTCCCTCCCTCTGTCAGAATTCTTGACCTGCTGTTGGGCTGGTATTTAAATAAAAAAACAGGCCGGGAGCAGTGGCTCATGCCTATAATCCCAGCACTATAGGAGGCCAAGATGAGAAGATTCTCTGAGCCCCCAGGTTCGAGACCAGCCGGGACAACTTGGTGAGACCTCATCTCTACAATAAGTCAAAAAGTTAGCTGAGTGGGGTGGCACATGCCTGTAATCCCAGCTACTTGGAAGGCTGAGGTAGAAGGAATGCTTGAGCCTAGGAGGTGCAGGCTGTGGTGGCTGTGAGCGTGCCACCGCACTCCAGACTGGATGACAGAGTGAGACTGCAACTCAAAAATAAATAAATAAATATTTTTTTTTGAGTCAGAATCTCACTTTGTTGCCCAGGCTGGAATACAGTGGCACGCATATGGTCACTGCAGCCTGAACCTACTGGACTCAGGCAATCCTTTCACTTCAGCCTTCCAAGTAACTGGAACTGCAGGAGTGTGCCACCACGCACAGTTCATTTTTTGATTTATTATAGAAACAAGGTCTCGCCAAGTTGCCCGGGCTGGTCTGGAACCCGTGGGCTCAGGCAACCCACTCACCTTGGCCTGCCAAAGTGCTGGAATTACAGGCATGAACCACCACTCCTGGCCTAAGTAAAGATTTTAGTGTCTGCTTTGAGCTTATATTTGAAAAGAATCTTGAACAGTTACTGGTAATATGAAGTAAAATGTTACATCATGTGGTTTCTGTGCTAGAGGAAGTCAGCAAAGGGTCCCCATCTCTACTTTCCACCCTCTTCTTTTTACTTTCTCTGCTTAGTATGAGTGTCTTCTGTTTGAGATGCAATGAATTAGCACGAATTTATAGCTTTAGTGTCTGTGGAGTAAAGCAAATGAGAATAAGTCTTGTTAATATTTGTGGGGTTCTTAGTAGAGGCCATACATTGTGTTTATTGCTATATATGAGATCTAGTCAGGCCTACATAAAAGCTCAATAATGTTTATTATTTCTAGTTTCCATATGGATAAATCAAAGTTTAGAGTAATTGTCAAATTTTCTGAAGGTCACTTTGGTAGTAAATAGTAGAGGAAAGTCTTCAATTCTGTTTGGTCTGACTTCTAACCGTTTACTCAACAATTGTGACAGATGTTGCTGGTTGCCACCCCAATATCTGTTCCTCAATTCTTCTTTGCTAGTCAAACCACTATTTTGTTTAATTATTTACCTTTCAGGGAAAGTGTCCCTTCTCCACTTCTGAAAGTAAGGATGACTAGTCTAATTAGTATTAACTGAAATCCCTTTGCTTTGCTTTAGTGGTGGACACATGACTAAATTCTAGACAATAACATCATGAGAAGATATCCTGGGGAGTTTCTGGAATCTCCGTCCTTGGTTTTGAGAAGAAGAATTTTTTAAAATGTCGTCCCTGTCTCTAGACCAGGACTCATCAGTAACTTGCCTCCAATTCAATCCAAAGGTCCTTGACCCCCATGTCCATGCAACTTGACCATAACCATATATCCTTATACTTTCTCTATGGGCTTTATCAGAAACATCCAGGGTATCTGTTATATTTATGAAAACCACTCCAGAATCTTTTTGCATGGGAGCTAGGGTGGTTTTCTATGGCCATGAAAATTTGAGAATCTTCTTAGCCTGAGCTATTCAATCTCTTTAAGAGAAATAAAAATTGCTGAGCCCTTGTTCACATCTAATATTCATAATAATGTTGTGAGGCAACCATTATCATCCTTTAAAAAAAAATCGAGGGAAACCACGTCCCAGGGGCTTCAGTAGTTTTTTCAACATCGTGTCTGTCCAGTCAACAAAGTCAGCAAGATGGGAAAAACAGGATTGACAACTCCAGAGCCACTGTCTTTGCAAACTAAAATGTTCCCTTTGAAAATGTTTCCCCGAGGCCAGGCGAGTTGGCTCACGCCTATAATTTCAGCACTTTGGGAGGCCGAGGTGAGAGAATTGACTGAGCCTACGGTTCAAGACCAGCCTTGGCAACTGGCAAGACCTCATCCCTACAATAAATAAAAAAATTAGCCGAGTGTAGTGGTGTATACTACTTGAAAGGCTGAGGCAGAAGGATCACTTGAGCTCAGGAGGTTGAGGCTGCGGTGACCATGAGTATGCTACTATACTCCAGCCTGAGTGTCAGAGTGAGACTTCAACTCAAAAAAAAAAAAAAAAAAAAGGGAAGAAAGAAAGAGTTTTCCCATGTTGCCTTTGAAAGCATATCCCAGAGAATCATGGTAATATGGTCACACACAAGTGTGATAATTTCTTCCCTCTTTACATATTAAATCATTTTCTTCCTGTCTTTATCACTCACTGTATGACTTACCCTCACCGAAGTCTTGTATGGGGCATTGCTTAATGCAGTGCAGGGTTTCTCTTGACACTATTGACATTTGGAGCTGCCAATAGCAACTCCCCCTCAAGCAGTGATCACCAAAAGTGTCTGTCAAAGGTCCCCTAGGAGGAAAAATTACCCCCAGTCAAGAGTCACTATTACAGTGAGAAGAGAACTGGGTTCCGGCATCAATTAGGTCTCTATTTTAATCTTATCTCTGATACCTAACCAATATGAGTTCTTGGTCAATGATAGCCCTTTCCTCCTCAGCCTTCTCCTCTGCAGAATACAGTGGTTTTGTGGTGAACACTTACTTTCAGGGGAGGAATAAATGAGAATGCACATAGAAATCTTCTAAACTAGATAGAGTGAGTCTTTAGAATATGAGAACTTTAGAATATGAGAACTTTAGAATATGAGCCGTTATCAGGTTGTGTGCCTGGGACTCAATCCTAGGTCATGTATTGCAGAAGCTCAAGGTAAAATCAAGAACAATGCTTGTAGCAATACTAGCTACTACTTGTGACTGTTACCCACATGCCAAGAGCTTCACTTTAACTGTCACAAGTCATCTCATAGGCAGATGAGATGAGCTAATATGTAAAATGCCTGGGCAATATAGCAAGGCATTGTCTCTAAAAAAAAATCAAAAAAACAGCCAGACATGGTGGCATGCTCCTGTAGTCTTAGCTACTTGGGAGGTTGAAGTATATGGATTACTTGAGACCAGGAAACCAAGGCTGTGGTGAGCCATGATAGTGCCACTGCACTCTAGACTGGTTGATAGAGTGAGACCCTAACCAAAAATAAATAAATAAATAAAGCTGGGTGCTGGGGCCCATAATCTCAGCTTTGTGAGAGGCTGAGGCAAGAGGATTGCCTGAGCCCAGGAATTCAAGACCCCATCTCTACAGTAAATAAAAAATTAGCCAGGCATTGTGGCATGTGCCTGTAGTCCCAACTACTTGGGAGGCTGAGACAGAAGGACCACCTGAGCCCAGCAGATCGATGCTGCAGCAGCAACAAAGAAAAAAAAAGAAGGATGATTGCACAATGACAGGTGAAAAAGGCCAACAAAGTTGCAAAATTATGGGTCCAGCTTAGTTGGAAGGAGGAGAAGAGAACTCACGAACCATAGGTAATACCTGTACCAATATGTTCAGGACTGTTCTTTGTTGAGCCCCTAATATATGCAGTCACCATACATTTTATCATCTCCAATTACAACATCCTTGCTGTGGGACAAGTCTCATCATTGTTGTAATACAAGAGGAAACCACAGCTCAGAGAGGGAAAATGACTTGCTCAATGTCACAAATGGGTGCAACTGAACTTATGACCAGATTTCAAAGTAAAACTCAGTATTTCCTTATTAGCTTACTCAGTTCATTGCTTAAAACATCATATTAACTTCTTTTTTTTAGCCAGGCTCAGTGGCTCAGCCTGTAATCCCGCACTTTGGGAGGCTGAGGTGAGTGGATTGCCTGAGCCCGCGTGTTCAAGACCCACCTGGGCAACGTGCGAAGTCTCATCTCTACCATAAATCAAAAAATTAGCCAGGCATGGTAGCGTGCACCTGTAGTTCCAACTACTTGGAAGGCTGAGGTGGAAGGATCACCAGAGCCCAGTAGGTCGAGGCAGCGGTGGCCAGGAGCATGCCACTGCACTCCAGTCTGGGCAACAGAGTGAGACTCCAACTC